AGACTAATAACACTTGAAAGACTTTAGTTAATATTGGTGACTAACAATCCTATTGATGTCTTGAAAATCATGTATGGAAAGGTAGGTAATTGCTTCAATGAACTAACTATCCTATTTTAAGATATTCATGGTCCTCAGGTTTTCATATTCTGAAATTTCGGCATTGGCATTCATCAAGCATTTATATAATTTCCTTCTTTTGGAACCCTAAACTATTCGCATCATTTATCAAAGAATTCCAAGCAATTTAATCAATGTCTGGAAATGGGGCAGGAGCATTTTTGTTTTCTTTTCCACCCTTTCTTTATTTAACTATTTTCTATTGTGGGGCATTTTTAATTTTGGGCAGAACTTGCTTATACAATGGAAGTGAATGAGAAGTGCGATGTTTATAGTTTTGGGGTGCTAGCACTGGAAGTGATTATGGGAAAGCATCCAGGTGATCTAATCTCCTCTTTATCATCATCCTCGTCCTCATCATCAACATCAACTGCGCAAGGGATATTTTTGAAGGACGTCTTGGACCAACGCCTCCTACCTCCGAGGAATCAAGTGGCAGAGCAAATAGTTGTTGTTGCGAAACTAGCATTTGCATGTCTACACACCACTCCACTGTCTCGGCCAACCATGCAACAAGTTGCTACGATACTATCAAAGCAAAGGCCAACACTGCAAAATCAATTCTACACGATTACATTAGGACAACTCTTTGACATCAACTGCTCGAGCTCTTGAGTATTTATTTTCCCTTTTATTCTTGGATTGCATTATGTTCTTGCTTTCAGTTGTCTTCTTATACCATTCAATTTCAGCCTGTTTCCAGTCTATTTTGCTACTCTTTTATACTAATTACCATTTTACAAACTTTTATATGCCTAATTTAAAAGTATCAATCCTCTATAATTTCCATCACAGTTAGAGATACAATAATGTGTCTTGAGTTCTGCAGTAGCTCACTTGTATTATATATATCTTGGCTCTCGATCAACAAGTAGGCTCTGTGGTCAGCGTAATCCAACCATGAATAATAGAAACACTTAAGCTCTGGCCATCTTGCATGCTATCAACATGTACGACGTTGTATAATATCCTGTCTTCTTGATTTTTGTATTTCTTGGTAGCTGGTGAACAAGATTTTCCATGGGAACTTGGCTCCACTGTTATTGGACATCTATGACTTTAGTCCGGAGTTTCAAAAGCCAAGAGAACCAAGCTTGTTTTTCGAGAAATGCAAGGATTCAACTGAGTCTTCGTCGGTCATCTCAACCAGAGGGCAATCATCTAAGTTTTGGGTGGGTTTGTTTGTCCTGTTTTATGTGTTTTGTTTTGATTTTGCTTCTAGCAGGGTAGTGGTGTGGTGTGGTGTGTTGCTTTCATTTTTTAGGATTCTGTCTCCTATACTAGACTTAGGTGGTGTTTTTTATTAGATCTCTCTATTCCTATGGTTCACTTGTGATTGCTTTGTATATGAAATGAAGTTCATGAATCACACCTATGATATTTAACAAGCATTCAAGGTTGGAACCAATTTGCATAGGATGGATAATTCCTTGATGATTTCATAAACTCTTTCCTCCTTCCATTCATTCTCTCGAATAAAAAAGAAATGCTAAATCTTTGTAAGTCCCTAAACCTCAGAAAGGGCTTTTAGTTTATAATCTGATCTTTAATTTGTAGCAGTGTAGGCATGGTGTTGGGGCTTGAGCTTTTGCTCTGTTTCCTCTGTTCTGCTTCTTTTTTGTGTAGCCATATTGAAACTACTCCAATTCTGGTTTGTTGTGGGATTGCTCATGATTAATCACGCATAGGGTGCCAACATAGTTGGGATGCTATGTTTTTGATAATGATGTAGTGTTTGTTCCCAGTTTTTGTAAGTTTCTTGATCTACTTTTGATTAATAAAATCTTTGCTTTTGGCTTATCAAAAAAAAGAAAAAGAAAAAAGGCTTTCGGTTGCAAAAAAATATCAATTCAAACACATTATAAAACATCCTCACTATACAGAAACATTTACTAGAAAGTCAATTTCAAGCATCCAAATCATTCCTTCAACATTGATCTGCAAAAGCTTTAAGCCTTTTGCCTGCCCAATCTGTAGACATCAGTCTCAAACATGTGCACATGTAGGTCTAACACACAAAGCAAACTAATACAAATGAACTCATAACCATTCACATGACCACTTTTGTCAACAAAGAAGTGTTGTTGAATTATTACCAAAAAAATGAGCAAAGTCAAGATATCTTGACTTGCTTAAGAAGTTCATTGTATTTAAGATGAACATTTTAGAAAATATACATAAGCAAATTCTAAATTCACAGACAACATATTAGTAGATTGAATAAAAATTGAAATGTTGTGTTTGGGAAGTTGCTATTTTAATTGACCTTTTTATCTTTTTAGCTATTTTAACCTGGCTAAAATAGTTGTGTGTGGGAAGTTGGTTGGTAGTTCATACACACACACAGAGCTCATAGTTCACACACACACAGCTCTCATATTTAGAGAGAGAAAGTAGTTGTGAGACACAGAGAGAGAGAGAGAGAGAGTAAAACATGAAATTTTCAATGTGCAGCTATGCACTTGTGGTTGTGGTGGTGATTGTGGGAAATAGTGGGATTTCAAATTCATTCTGATGATAAGCCTCATGACCCCACTTGTCCGAGCACTCTCTCTCTCTCTCTCTCTCTCTCTCTCTCTCTCTCCATTTATGTACATGTAGCAGATACATATCTATTTGGGGAATTTAAATTACATGTTAGAGCATCTCAAACGTTTAAAGTTTGATCTAATATATTGTATTTCAATCGTTTCATTAAATTTGGTCAGTCATTCAGCCTAGAGTAAATTTTTAGCAAAACTTTCCCAACCTAGTCATCCACCTAGATGTCTTGCTAGTCATCCACCCAATTGACTGGCCAGTTGTCCACCAACGGTTAACAACAAAATTTGATGAAAGATTAAACGCTCTTTTAATTTAATAAAAAAAAATCTAGCTTTGCCTTCATTTGATATGAGTTTAATGACATTGTTGAGCAAAAAAAAGGGGCGTGAATTTAAATTTGATGAAACATCTGAGTAAGCATTAGAGACCCTCTTAGTAAACCTCAAAAATTAATTACAAATCCAAAATTTATAATTTTACTTTTTAATATTTATAAAATTTTAATTAATTTGAAAATGTTTTTCCAAATTTTCATTGATGTAAAATTATCCCTGTCTATTTTATTACATGGGTTATTGCATCCCAGTGATGTTAGGAAAAAAAATACAAACTCATGAAAAAATTTAAAATTTTAATTATTAATATTTATAAAATTTCACGATGATTTGTTATTACTTATTTAACACACTAGTGATGTGATATTTCCCCTTTGTTTATAAAGTATATAACTCACACCATGTTTTAAAATTAGATAATGCTATTATGGTACACACTTTTATACCTTATGCATTCATATTATGCATGTTTATGATATATGTTACTAAAGACAAAAGTATTTAAGGACTAGGGGTCAGGTGCCCCCTAACTTTTTTTTATATTTAAACTAATAGTTTTACAAGTAAAGATTATTTCTTATTTATCCTTCATAGAATTACTTGATTAACATGTGTCCCTCTATTTTAAATTTCTAACTCTGTCACTGAATGTAACATATTTTTTTGGATAAAGTTATGACAATTTATGGTTGAGAAATGAAATTACGTATTTTGTGAGTGTTACACATTTTTTGGTTAAAAAATGTTTGAACAAAAAAATACGTAACATTACGACAAAATGCATAACTTCATTTCTCAACCATAAATTATCATAACTTTACCAAAAAATTACATAACATTTGCCACAATACGTAACATACACCATAAAAATACATAACAGGTGCATATGGTATACACTCAAATTACCATTATGCAACTGTCCAAATATTTGATTTCAAATTTAATTTCTTCAAAAAAAAAAAAAAATTCAACGGTACAACCATCATTTCTCTACAACATGATAGGGTGCCTGGCCTTCTAATACTGTATAATACTGTTATATAATTGTGCATATACACTGAGGATATGTTTATTTAGACAGACATGATATTCAGATTGGACAAATAATCTAACAAAATATAAATCTAATGATTGGCTAAGAAAATTGAGGTTAAGAGTAATAGCCTATCTAAGCAGGGCGGACTATTGACGTGAGATATTGTAATGACCCCGCCATCTATAATATTTTATATTTGGTTAATTAAGGAGATTTAGGGCTTTAATTAGTTGCTATCCAAATTTAATTTGAGAATTGTGGAATTTGACTCGTATATGATTCTATTAAAGACTTATTTTGGAACTAGAAATTAAGGGTCCAATGGCTTAAGGAAGTGAAATTAAGAAGTTGGGTCAATTTAATTTTAATTACGGACCTATTTGGGAGTTTAATTAAATATTCGATTCAATTTAGTAAAATTGAGATTCAATTAAATTGGGTCTGAATTGGAGTTAATTAACTTAATTAAATTATGAGGATTGAGAATTGTGATTATTACGAATTAAATTTATTTGTAGGGTGTCCAATTTGAATATGTAATTTATTGGCGAAGATTTTGAAATTTGATCCAAAATTGAAGACCTTAATGATTTGAAGAACCAAAATTGATGATGAAAATAAGTTTAATTTGATGTTTAGAGCCTCTTGGAAGTCAATTAGACTAATTAAATTATGTGGGATTTGAGATTAGTTATAATTAACTAATTTTGTGTCAATTAAAATTTATTAAGATTAAGTGATGCTTAATTAAATTATTTCTAGACATAAATTGAATTATGGGCTAAATTAGTATTGGGGGTGTAAATGGGTGTGGGTGTATTGAGAAATCTGTGTATGTGTGTGTATGTGATGTGTTGGAAATCAAAGGAGATTGCACGTGTGCTATGTTGAGGTCAAGAAGTGAGTGTGCGTGTGTGTGAGTGAATGTATAACCTGCTGAAGCTCAAAAAAAAAAAGGAAAGAAAGGAGAAGGAATCTGAGAGAGAGAGAGAGCACGGCTGAGAGAGAGACCGAGAGGAAGAAAGAAAATGGAAGAATAAAGCCTTGTGGGATATCAAAACTCAAGCTAAAAATTATGGAAAACTCATCATGAGGTAAGGAATTCCATCCTTTTTCTAGCATTGTTTAATTAATTTAGACAAAAAATTGATTCAAGATGGACTTTGAGGGGATTAAAAATAAAGATTTGTAGATCAATTATATAAATTGTTAAAATTTTGGTTTGCATGTAAAATCAAGTTAGGATGAAGAATATGAATTATGATTTCTTAAATTTGTTAAATTTGGGTTCAATTTCACATAAATAGAAGAAATTAGCAAGATGATGAATAAATGGAGTTAGGTTCAAATTTATGGAAGTTAAATTGAGAATCAATTATGTTGAGTTTGATTTTTGTAGTCTTGCATGAATTTGAGTTCCATTTCTACATGCATGAACAAATTTTGTAAGTTTTAATACTCTAATTGTACATGCATCATAGATTTTGAAGAATTTGAACTAATTCAATCTCATATTTTGAAGAGAAAGAGGAAAAGCTTTGAAAATTAGGAATTTGTTTGATTTTGATCTTTAATCCATGCATGTAATTTAATTTAAAAGTTTTATTCAATTTAAACACATTTTAGAACATCTATGATTATAAATTAACTTTCTGGTTAAAAATTGAGTTAAGTTTTCTAATTTATGGGCCTTTATTTACATGATTTTCACGTATCATACACATCCATATGTATATTATAAGAATGCAAGAAATTAAAGAAAGAATAGAAACAACTGAACGAACAAGTAACGGATAAACTGAAGAAGGTTAAGAATCGACCGATTGACTCGAATGTATATTGAGAAATTGTGCTATGAATATTTGTATTTGTAGGTCAAGACTCGAAGACCGAACAACGGGTATTGGAAGGCCACTGTGAGTAACATTTCTGTAAAGATATGTTGATATAAATTATGTTTGAATTGTTATCGATAAGCTATGGTTTCTTGAAATGCTATCTTGATTATGTGAACGAATGTCCTATTTGTGAATCTATTATGGCATCCACAGATAGTCCCAAGTCATGGGGGACGACATGTAAATGCGGGTCCATGACATATATGTGATATGAGATCTCGTTAGCCACTTCATTGTGGTGATATGTGTTTAATCGGTATCCGGAACCGATTACTCTAGTCGGAGGACGATATGTGATATGTTCTGTGTGATGTACCATTACGTTATGTTCTGATATGAGACTGATATGATTGATTGTGATATGATTTGTTTTACGGATATTGTATTTGGAATTCGTTCACTAACCCCTTTACGTTAATGTTATTCACTGGGCTTTAGCTCACTGTTTTAATATATATGTATAGGTGAGCATTTTGGATGGCAAGCTTAGAAGGGGTCTATAGCTGAGTCACCGTTTGAAAACCTACCGAGTTGTTTTGTGTGCCTCTGAGTTGGGGCTAGGCCTGAAAGGCCGTTGTCAAGCTTTTGATCGTGAAGTAAACTTTCGTTATGTGCATACGTTATGTATTAATGTTAAGTTACAAGTTATGTACTGAATGTGGGTAAATTAACGTTTTTGCAGGATAAATGTTTGTTCATATAGATGCACAGCTCATTGGACTATTGGTGTATTTTTGAATATTGCTTCCGCTAGCCCCGATTATTTTTGATTGTATAGGAAGGCCTTTGGTAATCTCAGATTACTGGCCGGTTACGACGCTAAACCTAAAGGGCAGGTTTGGGTCGTGACAAATATAAAATGGAGGACTAAGAAGAAGTTTAAATTAATTAGTTAAATTACAAAATTGATAGGATTTTATTAATTACTTAGAATCTTAAGACAATTCAAACATGGAATATGATGCACAATATAAAGTTATTGATAATTTCAGAACTAACAGCCCTAAGAATGATAATCTCATCTAATCCAATCGGTCTAAAGAAACATAGTTTGAGTGGGTTGATGACAAAATAGCAACTATGGGTTTGCGGCTTGGCTAATTTGCTATGAGTGGCCTATGTTTGATTGGAAACAACCTAATAATTGAAACTCACCGATTTGTTGTAAGTTGTTGTTTTTAAATAGATTCTATATTTTAGGCTTTAAATTATTGATTTATTATTTTAAGAAAAGATTATTTTGCTTGTAATTTTTACTAGAAATTTTAAGTTGTCAATATAGTTTCTTTTGGCACTTTTCTTTTTTGTTGGAACAAATTGTCTTGAATTCTTCAATTCATGGTCTTCGGGTTTTCAAAACTTGGCGATGATCTTGTCTATATAGGACAGAAATTTGGTGCTTCAAGTCACGTTACTAAGTTGCTTTCCTAAAGACAATATTTGCACCCACCAAAAGGTGTGTAGGGGGTTACAACAAATTTGCCTCCGGGATACAATGAAGCCTGATCTAAAGATCAAATCTACCGGCGTCTGCACTGACGACAGTAGATTAGAATACTCTTGATATAATCAAGAAAACCAAGACACTAATAATCAAATCTGTAGAACTTGATTACCAGTAAGAAAAGCAAAAATTTGCTTAAGAAACTCTTGATTGAAAACTCTAAATCAAGAGGGAGAGAGAGAGAATTGTGAATGAATTCTGAATTTTTGGATGGAATGAAATGGCTGATTTCGCAGCCTATTTATAAGCCTTGATGCACCTGATCGAATGGTCATGTCCCTTGATCGCATCCGATCAGATCTGACCGTTGGATCAACGATCTATGGTGCAGATAATTCTCATACCAAATAGACGCCTTGACTAATCACACCTAATCATGATTAGGTGCCATCTCATCCGTACGATCGCACACATCTCCAATCAACGGCTATGATCAACCCGCTCTAGATCAGACACACAACCGTTTAATCGGTTGGCTGACTCATCGCCAATGGACGACACGTCACTGCCACGTGGAGCTGACTGTATTCCACGTCACCCATGCCACGTCATCGCTCCAACCTGTTTGATGTAAATAGGAAAGCGCTGTCATAGCGCTAATGCGCTCGTGCAAAGTGCAAAGTGCGCCATCAAACGCCACATAGCCCACTACCCACGCCATGCGCGCGTGTGCATGTACGGATGGTTGCGAAGCACCATCCTTGCGGTGTGGATGCATGCACACCAGCTTTCACCTCACAATTTCATATTCAAAGGAATATTCCATATAGCACTTTATTAAGTGCTCCGTGTTTTCCTCTCTTTCCGATGTGGGACAAAGCCCCAAGCTTATTTCATGCTTTCCAAAGAAAAACACAGAAGGTTTTGAAAACACCCAAAAATAAACTATAAATTTGAAATCCCATTTTGAAAATTCCTCAACATTTCCCCACCATTTTCAAAATATCAAATGATGATTCTTGGTTCACTTGGCAGCCTTATGTATAGGTGAAGATATCTTATGATTTGAATCATTCATGTAGGGAAGACATCTCAAAGTTAGTTAAGATGGCATAGTAGACTTGTCTTTGAACTAGCAATCTTATTCGACTAACCGGACATATCTCACGCACAGTACAGGTTACCTCAAGTATTCAAATAAACCGACATGTGGATTGGCCTTGTGTCTATATCCTGTTTCATAAGTGCTCTAGAGTTTAGCCCTTGGACTCATAGGAAGCAGCACCACCTCCTACACTCACATAGGTAAGCTTACTAAGAGTATCCCTGTAATTTACAGTACCCTAACAACTCAGTTGTAAGCTTATTAAGAGTTTGCTAACTCATCCTTTTCTTTTTACATTACAGGTACCAAGCACTTCAACCTTGGGATGAAAATGAAATAAAACTAAGTGCTTGCAATCACGACATATGGTGTGCTTGGGCTCATTGAACTCAAGACTTGATGTTTCTTCAAGCGTTGAGTCGAGTTTCCACCAGGAGTGATTATGTTAAGTGGGCTTAAGACCCATCCCCTTTGATGTTTTCCACACCAAATCCCCTGCAAGTCCCTTTGTTAAGGGGTCAGCCAAGTTTTCACTTGACTTTACATAACTAATAGTAATCACACCTTCTGTGATTAACTGCCTAACACAGCTATGTCTCAGTTCTATATGCTTTGACTTTCCATTATAGACATGGCTATAGGCCCGTGATAGAGTTACTTCACTATCACAATGCAAAGATATTGGTGGCATAGGTTTTGGCCATATCTCAATCTCTAACAAGAGATTCCTTAGCCACTCTGCCTCTTTGCTACAAGATGCCAATGCTACAAACTCTGACGCCATGGTTGAGTCTGTTATGCATGATTGCTTTGTAGAACCCCAGGAGATAGCTCCTCCTCCAAGAGTAAAAATCCAACCACTCGTGAACGAGTGATCTTCACGGCCAGTTATCTAACTAGCATCCGTGAATCCTTCTAACACTGCTGGATAGCCATTATAGACTATTCCATAGTCTATTGTTTTCTTCAAGTACCTAAGTACTCGGTTAACAGAATGCCAATGCACACTACTGGGATTACTAGTGTATCTACTAAGTTTTTCCACTGCAAAAGCAATATCAGGTCTAGTGCAAGTCATGGCATACATCAGACTACCTATTACTCTTGAGTATTCTAGCTGATCAACAGCTTTTTCTGTATTAGGATACAATTTCAAATTTGAATCAAAAGGTGTAGACATAGGTGTACAATTATATTGATTAAATTTCTTAAGAATTTCTCAATATAGTGCGACTGGGTTAGAATCAAATTATTGTCCTCTCGTTTGATCTTAATACCCAGAATTACATCAACCAAGCCCATGTCTTTCATACTAAAGCTAGACGACAAGAAACTTTTAGTACTTTCAATGACATCATTGTCAGTACAAAAAATAAGCATGTCATCTACATATAGGCATATGATTACACCTTTATTTTCAGTAAACTTACTGTACACACACTTATCAGATTCATGAATCCTAAAACCATTTGGCACTATTACTTTGTCAAATTTCTCATGCCACCATTTTGGAGCTTGTTTCAGTCCATATAGTGACTTCACGAGTTTACACACTTTGTGCTCTTGACCTTGTACAACAAATCCTTCTAGTTGTTGCATGTAGATTTCCTCATCTAACTCTCCATTTAGGAAAGCGGTCTTAACATTCATTTGATGGATTTCAAGCATATAGATTGAGGCTAAGGCAATCAACACTCGAATGGTGGCGATTCTAGCCACCGGAGCATATGTATCAAAATAATCGATACCCTCCTTTTGAGTAAAACCCTTAGCAACTAATCTTGTTTTGAACTTGTCAATTGTACCATCAAGTTTCATTTTCCTTTTGAAAATCCATTTACAACCAATTGGTTTGGATCCAGGTGGCAAATCAGCAAGTATCCTGGTATTGTTACCCATGACAGAATCCATCTCATCGTTTATTGCTTCTTTCTAGAAAGCAACATCTTGAGACTTCATAGCCTCCTTAAAGGTTAATGGATCTGAATCCATATTCAAAGAAATCATTGTTTGCTTACAATAAGCTTTCCTAGTTCCTTCTACAAGGTAAATATCGAAATCAGGGCCAAATGACTTCTTAGGCCTAGCCCTCTTACTCCTCCTTAGCTCAATAGGCTCATTAGGTTCAATGGGTTCATGTCGTTCACTTTCCTCTATAGACCTCAAAGGAGTTGATTCATTTTCTTGATTAGAATCCAACCTTGGAATGGTTGTGAAACGATTCTCATAAAATACCGCATCACGTGATTCAATGCTGGTTTTTGTTTCCACTGAACCATTGGGCTCTACTACCAGAAACCTATATGCTTTGCTATGTATAGCATAGCCAAGGAATATGCATTCAATTCCCTTTTCACCTAATTTCTTCCTTTTAGGTTCAGGCAATCAGACTATTGCTCTACAACCCCATGTCTTCAAGTAACCAAGATTAGGTTTCTTGTTTTTCCAAAGTTCATAAGGAGTAACACTTCTTCCCTTGAGAGGAATGCTATTGAGTATGTGACAAGCAGTGAGCAAGGCTTCACCCAAAAAACCAGAACTTAAATTAGAGTAAGAAAGCATAGCATTAATCATTTCTGTTAATGTCCTATACTTTCTTTCAGCTACTCCATTTTGTTGTGGTGTGTAGGGTGCAGACTTCTCATGAATAATACCAACATTTTCACAATATTCTGGAAAATGGTATTCACCGCCTCTATCAGACCTAAGTCTCTTTATTTTGACATTACACTGATTTTCTACTTCTGTTTTAAAAATCTTGAATTTATCAAGCACCTCATCATTTGAATGCAAAAGATAGATATGACAGTACTTAGAAAAATCATCAATGAATGTTACAAAATATTTCTTACCACCTCTAGTGGGGGTACTATGCATGTCACATACATCACTATGCACAAGTTCAAGCAAAAATGTGGTTTTATCTACTTTAGGAAATGGAATGCGAGTAATTTTTGATTCACACAAAATTTAGATTTTTCAAACATATCAATGTCATACTTAGGAATTAAATCTAAATTAACCATATCATACATTTTCCTAGTATTAACATGACTTAAAAGAGCATGCTATAAAGAAAGAGAATCAACAATTTAAGTAGAAATAGATGAATTATTGATAATGTTAAGTTTGAACATTC